TGATGGATGGATAGATGGATGGATGAGTGGATGGATGGATAGATTGATGGATGGATGTTAGATCGATGGATGGATGAGTGGATGGATGGATAGATCGATGGATGGATGTTAGATCAATGGATGTATGGTTAGATGGATGGATGGGTAGATAGATGGATGAGTGGATGAATGGATGTTAGATCGATGGATGAGTGGATGGATGGATAGATGGATGTTAGATGGATGGATGGATGGATAGATGGATGGATGGATTGATGGATAGATGGATGGATGGATTGATGGATAGATGGATGGATGGATGAGTCGATGGATGGATGGATGGATGGATAGATGGATGGATGGATTGATGGATGGATGGATAGATGGATGGATGGATTGATGGATAGATGGATGGATGGATTGATGGATAGATGGATGGATGGATTGATGGATGGATGGATAGATGGATGGATGGATGGATGGATGGATACTTTATTGATCCCAAAGTTAAGCAGACATGTGATTAAATGCAGTACTAATGATGATGGTACTGCAGTAGCCGTACTACGTGGTATCTCTATAACTAAGACGTGTAAATGTTCTTAAATCAACTAGTGGTCGGAGGTTGAAATGCAACCAAGGCCATGAATAATTAACATGTTAATTATTAATAAAAAAACGTCCATGCAGTGATGGAGAACATCGATGCCGAAAAGTGAATCAAAATATGGCAGTATTTCAGTGTATTTCACTGTGAAGTCGGACCGTCCTGCCTGCAGTCCACACTCCTTATTTTGGAAAGTTTTTGACGTCACTTCTTTCTGGACTGAATTATATTCACATTCCAACATAAACAAACACGTTTGTTGGTTTTTGTTGCATTTTTAAAAGTTTTATCAATTTTTTTCCCATCAACTGTTTGGACTCGTGCTCAGATCATTGTGAACCATTGGTCTCATCACACACACACACACACACACACACACACACACACACACACAGTTGCATGTTCATCTAGAACCTCTGTTTGGTCTCGGTCATTGTTTTCATCCGGACTGACCGCTCCGACAGCTTTGACCTCCGTGACCTTGACCACAGCCATCCTACCACGGCACCACTCACCTGCATGAGCTGTTCCACGTGTTACCACCCTTGACCCTTGACCCTTGACCTCCCGTTCTGCCCCGACCGTGTCACGCCTCTCACTCATCCCAGTGTTTTTTCTGTCTTTATCAAAACTGAACAACTGCTCATGAGAAAAGACAACAACAACAAAAAACACGCCGTAAAAACTGTGATGACCCCCCCCTCTCCTCCCTCCCTCTGTTCTAAATGTTCCTCACACATTAACCCCCCCCCTTAACCCCCCCAACCCTTTCCAGGTCCTCTCAGGTGTCTGTCGTTGACGACCTCCTCACTCAGATCTTAACCTCTGCTCAACCTTCCAGGGGAATCTAACCCACGACACCACGCACGCTGCTGGGAAGTTTCCCGCTCCGTGGACTTTTCGGCAGCGTCCTGTTGTGTTTGGTGTGTGTGTGTGTGTGTGTGAGTGTGTCTGTGTGTGTGTCCACTGCTCTCATTTGTGATGCTCTTACTCTTGTTTCTCCCTTTTTTTAGATTAAAAATCTCTTAAAGGTCCAAATACTGTTTGTGGCCCAGGTAAGGACCCCAGGTCTGAGCGGGCGACCGTCCCCTCCGCTCAGCCCCGCTCAGCTCAGCTCCGCTCCGTCCATCAGCAGCAGCAGCAGCTCGACCTCCACCTCTGCTTGTCCTTGTAATTTGGCTGCCTTCTCCTCGATGCTCCTTCTGTTTTTTTTTTTTCCTCCCTCCTTCTACTAACTAAGCTTTTTACTGACAAAGAGGACGGAGAAACCAGGCTGTTTATTTGGTGGTGGTGGGGGGG